GCGCTACCTCTTTGTTGAACTGCTGCAGCTGCACATGAACACCGTTCTCATCCCCCTGCTTGATGCACTGGATAATCCCCTCAATGTTTATGTCCATGCTTCCAGCGTGCACGCACACACACACGCACACACACACACACACATGCACAAACAAATCATTCAGACTACAACAAAATTTAAGTTGCACAAAAGTAATTGAACAATAATGAATTAATAAATGCACAGCAACACTGACCACATACAACACAATCATGTTGCTGTTGAACCAAGAGCATGAAAACTATACAATAGACGATGAGCATTTTAGTGAACAGTTCACTTCTTATCGCCATGACGACTAAATCATATTGATTACTGATAAGTGACTCTTTGCTAATACATTTTTAATGGACGATTGAATGATTTCTATAAAAATATGTAGGGCCCACACGTGCAAAAGTTTTACTTGACAAAGTTTGTGTAAACTTACCTTGAGCAGATCACTTTACCAGTCAGCCGTTAAATTGCGGGTGAATAAAACGACCCTAAATCTTAAAGTTTTCTGAGATATGGCTCCTCCAGTTTAAACTCTGCTCACTGCAGAGTGTTGTTGTCCACGTATGTGCACACTGCGTTGAGTCCTGCACTTAATTTAGCTTCAATTCAATTGCTCTCCAGTCACCGTCATGCCAGCCTCTCTCTCTCTCTCTCTAATCCAGAAGAGATGCAGGAGCCATCAAGCGTTTATGGTTATAATCCACTAATGGACTCTAAGATTATATCTGTCTGCGACGACCTTTCAACCTCTTGGAGGTTTATTATATTCAGGTTGAACGCGTGCTACTGTCTGCTCAGCTTTCACCGAAATGTTGCTTCTGTTGTTACTAACTGAAAAGTGAAAGTGGACGATCATGTTTTTGCCTGTGTCTGCGCGAGTGTTCATGTGTCTGTTACCAAAATATCTCATGAATCAATGAGTAAATTACAATACAACTTTCAAAAAGTCGTCAATGGATTTCCGTCTACGGCTGATTAACTTTTGGAGTCAATCTAATTTAAAATGGCTGCCACAGCCGCTGATATTACAAAAGACAAAAATGTCTATAACGTTAAAATTTTCCTCAAACCTCAAATTTGGTTCAGGAGTAGCTGAGGGCGATCTTCAACATGTGCTTTGAGCACTAACAGACAGCACATGTTTGCTTAAAATTCTGGTCTTAAATGTATGGTGACGCCTCTGTTTCTCTGTTAGCAAAATATCTCCAAAATCACTGCATGGATTTTATTGAACTTTTCAGGAAATATTCACTGAATGCACCACTATGAGTGATTACCTTTTGGATCCAACACAAATCAAGATGGCCCCCATAACCAAATGACCTTTGAAAACACAAAATTGGCTACGACTTAGTCAGTTTTACCAATAATGAGCTAAAACTTGTTGTGGTAGTAGCCGACAGTCATTCACAGCACTTAATCTGACATTGATGCATCATATCACACGGGATTGTGCATCACATTAATTTTAAGGTTTGACCAAAATGGCTACATCTCAAAGTCTGGCATTAAAACAGCGGGTGATATGCATCCCTTAAAAAAATGGTGTTTGCAACTGTTTCCACAAGATGGCAGTATATTTTTACACATCATTATCCCAAACAGAACAATTCACATCAAGAAAAATTTCAGTTTTCAATAAACTTGGAACAATTTTTACTCAAAACCTCACACAGACTTTTTGACTCTTTTAAAAATGGAGGCAAACAAGTGGCAAAACCCTATTTCATGACGAAGTATTTATAAAATAAAAGTAAAATAATTACACTTCCACACAAATTTGCTTAACCTTCTTTCAAATCTGAGACCCGTGGAAGTTTACAGAACAGTTCACACGCTTGAGACAAAGTGTTTCCTCTGAGGAAACCTATGAGAGGATAATGTGCGAGTGAAAGACAAGCTTTCCTGACAGGATACTCTCTCTTGTGCCCAGTGTGTGGAGGAAACGGGCCTGGGGGGTGGGGGGGCTGAAGAGGACAGCTGAAGGCTTAAAACAACAGGATGCTCACACGTCAGAGACAGTGGGAGAAAAATCAGAGAAGTCCTCACAAAGTGCCCTCATGGGAGATAAATTAGGTGTAGGATACTATTAGATCAAATCTTCAGGGCCTTCGTGAACTTTTAGCACCTGAACTGGCGCACGAGCCTCTGCTTTAAACCAAATGACCTGAAAATTAAGAAATAATCTGCTTCAGAATAACTAAACATAATCATCTATTTTTAATCATAAGCAACAAAAATAATTTCAGAAATTTCAAATGTCTGAGCAAGTCAGGATGTTTTTACTCTTTTGAGCAGAGAAAACGTATCATAATCAGATTTAATCACAGCTGTGGGCAAATATACGGTTTAAAGGGATAGTTCAGAAATTTTGAAGTGGGATTATGACTAAATAATATCTTACCTGCTGCAGATAGCTCTTTGAATGATTTCTGTTTGGAAAAATAAAGGTAATTTCTAATTACTGATGAGCTAACGGCTAGTCTGAGCAGGGCCACCAATAAAATGGATTGCTGCCGTCTTAAAACAACTCCCAACATCAAAGGTTTCATAGTGATTGGTGCAAATATTATTTAATAAACTTCATACTGCTGTCAGTTTGGCATCACACAATTATTCCAGAGGAAATATCCTGATTTTTCTGCTGGAAGTGTCTCAGACTGATCCAGAAGTGCTAAAGCTAGTGCTTGGAGGCAACCCCAAACATTTTGTTGTTGTTGTTGTTAATAATTCTGTAATACAAAAACAACACTCACATCCATTATGAATTTTTTGAGATTGAAATTGTTTGAGCAGCTCACATTGGTCTTAACTCTATTTTTAGCTTTTCAACCCATTCAGAGTTTTAAAAAAAATACACAGTTTCTTTAAACTGAAGTTTTTCTAAACAGCTACCTACAACAGGTAAGATACTATTTATTCATAACCTTTTCATAAATCTTTACTTCCATATATCTCAGCTATTGCATATAACATGCAACAGGTATTTTTGTCTTCCACCCACTTGTTTCCTTTCTGGGTTGTGGGCGAGCTGGTGTTTATCTTCAGCCGTCACTGTGAGAGGCAGGGTGCACCCAGGACAGATCGCAGGTCCATCACAAGGGACACAACCGGAGGAAAAAAAAACACATGTGCAAGAGGAGAACATGAAAACTCCTCCTAGACAGGTTCCAGTCAGGGAGGCAATTCTGTGACCATCTCATTGTGAGCTAACAGCTTTGTTATGTCAGCAATATCCAAATACTTTCCTTAATTTAAATTCCCCATTTACTGCTAACATGCAGAATGTCTAGCTCTATTTCACAGTTTGTATACCGTTTAGCTCGTTTCTTGAAGTCTTCTTTGTTTATTCTACCAGTTTAACATTTTATATATTATTATTATTTTATAATACCCAAGTACAAATTTAAGGTACAGTATACTTTGCACAGCACAAGTACTTAACTGCTCTTCAATGATTTTTAAAAAAATACATTCTACTGCTATTTTCTGAGTGGACTCCAGTATTTTCCACTAACCATGTTTTCACAGCTTCCTGAGCAGCGGGGCGGTGCCAACTACCAGTAGCTGATCCTCATCCTGCTGATGGTCTCCTTGGTATTAAGAGCGGTTGGACCATCGTTTCCCTGCTGGAACATTTGATACAAATGGTACAAATGCGCAGCCCGAGCAAATGTCCTCCTGAGACTGTTTTCTAATGTTTTCTTTTTGTGCTCCTTTAGTGCTGATTCCATGGTACACCTTCTCATCTCCTCGTGTCTCCGTCTGAAACTCTGAAGTCTGAATCCCTTGTGAGCTCCCTCCCTAGAACCTCTAGTATTTTCCTCTGAAAAACCATCAACCAAACTTCATACAACCAACCTTTGTCTCCATCCTACCACCTCCATGTTGCCACCTCCACCTCCGAGCCTGCAAGACAATAATATCACTGTAAGATCAAACTGCCTGTTCATGAACAAAGTCAAAATCGTACGAAAGGATAACGCAAATCCTTCCAGTGTCCCCAACACCCCCGCCCCCCACTTGTAAATAAAATACTTTTTCTACCGAAGTGTGATGAGTCTCTTGCTGTCACTTTATCTACTGTTAAATATAACAACAAACATGTTCTTGTATTTCAGATCTATTTTTATACTAATTCACCAAGTTTAATTTTTAATTGATAAAACTAGTTGCTCATATTAACTATTTTCACGTCTGTTATAATGAGCTGTCGCCTGAGCCACAAATATAACTTGGGCTCAGTGAAAATGATGACACGTCATAAACATTTACAAATACCGATAACTTAAAACAATCATCTGCTTCATCTACATTTAGATACAAAATTGTTAAAATTTATTCCGCCTTAACCAACGACTCAAACCTCATCTTTAAACTGAGCAATGATAGTGATAAAAGAGAATGATAAGAGGGATTATTTTTATGCATGAAGATCTTTACATAGAAAAAATGTTCCTGATTATACTAAAACACTGAAGGTTTTTTTTTTGGCTGCTCTTTTCCTCAGGGGGTGCCACAGTGAACCCACTTGCACGAATACCGGATGCCCTTCCTGACGCAACCAAAGACCACCGAGCTACCACAGCCCTCAGTGTGGAGCAGAGAGCTGTCATCTAGGGTGCCCAGGGGAAGGGGCCTGCCCAGGAGGCAGGTGTGGGTGCTCCACTTTTTCCAATCACATTATGATGTCTGTCCGTGGGGGTCAAACAGACGACCTTCGGATCATAGCCTTCTCAGGGCTCTGTGCCGCCACTCCCCAGAGTGAACATAGTATCTAAGGGTATTACCGACTGATGCCTGTTTACACGACAGTAAAACGTCTTTAACACCATGCATGTGAGGTGTTGTGCTCCAAAGTGTCATTAGTTTAAATTGTGTACTGTGATTGACTTCCTGAAAGCCTGGTCACGGCAGAGGGAAAAACAGGGTTTGCTTTTCCAGCAGTTTGTGCTATCTTGTGGGAACACAACCCCTGTCGTGCATCCAGTCACCGCTGGATCTTGTAATCCACGATTATTTAGAGGTGAATAATCATTTGAGTGCTGCTTATGTTCTTCTGTGCACGTGTGCCAGCGATGACTCAGTGCATTAGTCTGACATTACAAACGACCGAGACAATAGTCACAGGAAAGGTGCTCTAAAGCCTGGAGGTGTGGGGTTGTATGATCAGTGAATGACATATAAATGATGTAAAGCAAAGGGTGCCAGTGCAGCTACAGCCCCTCCAAATTCCAACATTAAATTTGTAATAAACTAAGACAAAATGACAACATTTTGATGTATAAACGGAATAAAAAGTGTAAAGAGAACAAATATTCATCCGTTATCTTTACCTGCTTCTTCCTTTTTGGATCATGGGGGTCACTGGTGCCCATGTCTATGGGCATATCTCCAGCCAAACCCATCTGTTCTCTGGATCCTTAATTTGTGATTAACATGACTTTTACCCATCAGCTGAGAGAAGGAAAATCCAGGACAAAATTTGGACATGTAGTTTTTGGATTTGTTTCTGTAAACAGAACATAGTAAAAAGTTTTGTAACGTGATTTTTTTTTTTTTACAAATACAA